GAAAATTGACGGCAAATTCAGAAGTTTGACGGCAAAACAAGAAGCATTACCGGGAAATATACGAAAAATTCAGAAAATTGACGGCAAATTCAGAAGTTTGACGGCAAAACAAGAAGCATTACCGGGAAATATACGAAAAATTCAGAAAATTGACGGCAAATTCAGAAGTTTGACGGCAAAACAAGAAGCATTACCGGGAAATATACGAAAAATTCAGAAAATTGACGGCAAATTCAGAAGTTTGACGGCAAAACTAGAAGCATTACCGGAAAATATACGGAAAATTCAGAAAATTGATGGCAAATTCAGAAGTTTGACGGCAAAACAAGAAGCATTACCGGGAAATATACGAAAAATTCAGAAAATTGACGGCAAATTCAGAAGTTTGACGGCAAAACTAGAAGCATTACCGGAAAATATACGAAAAATTCAGAAAATTGACGGCAAATTCAGAAGTTTGACGGCAAAACTAGAAGCATTACCGGAAAATATACGAAAAATTCAGAAAATTGATGGCAAATTCAGAAGTTTGACGGCAAAACAAGAAGCATTACCGGGAAATATACGAAAAATTCAGAAAATTGACAGCAAATTCAGAAGTTTGACGGCAAAACTAGAAGCATTACCGGAAAATATACGAAAAATTCAGAAAATTGACGGCAAATTCAGAAGTTTGACGGCAAAACTAGAAGCATTACCGGAAAATATACGAAACATTCAGAAAATTGATGGCAAATTCAGAAGTTTGACGGCAAAACAAGAAGCATTACCGGGAAATATACGAAAAATTCAGAAAATTGACGGCAAATTCAGAAGTTTGACGGCAAAACTAGAAGCATTACCGGAAAATATACGAAAAATTCAGAAAATTGATGGCAAATTCAGAAGTTTGACGGCAAAACAAGAAGCATTACCGGGAAATATACGAAAAATTCAGAAAATTGACGGCAAATTCAGAAGTTTGACGGCAAAACTAGAAGCATTACCGGAAAATATACGAAAAATTCAGAAAATTGACGGCAAATTCAGAAGTTTGACGGCAAAACTAGAAGCATTACCGGAAAATATACGAAAAATTCAGAAAATTGATGGCAAATTCAGAAGTTTGACGGCAAAACAAGAAGCATTACCGGGAAATATACGAAAAATTCAGAAAATTGACGGCAAATTCAGAAGTTTGACGGCAAAACTAGAAGCATTACCGGAAAATATACGGAAAATTCAGAAAATTGATGGCAAATTCAGAAGTTTGACGGCAAAACTAGAAGCATTACCGGAAAATATACGGAAAATTCAGAAAATTGATGGCAAATTCAGAAGTTTGACGGCAAAACAAGAAGCATTACCGGGAAATATACGAAAAATTCAGAAAATTGACGGCAAATTCAGAAGTTTGACGGCAAAACTAGAAGCATTACCGGGAAATATACGAAAAATTCAGAAAATTGACGGCAAATTCAGAAGTTTGACGGCAAAACAAGAAGCATTACCGGGAAATATACGAAAAATTCAGAAAATTGATGGCAAATTCAGAAGTTTGACGGCAAAACAAGAAGCATTACCGGAAAATATACGGAAAATTCAGAAAATTGATGGCAAATTCAGAAGTTTGACGGCAAAACAAGAAGCATTACCGGGAAATATACGAAAAATTCAGAAAATTGACGGCAAATTCAGAAGTTTGACGGCAAAACAAGAAGCATTACCGGGAAATATACGAAAAATTCAGAAAATTGACGGCAAATTCAGAAGTTTGACGGCAAAACAAGAAGCATTACCGGGAAATATACGAAAAATTCAGAAAATTGATGGCAAATTCAGAAGTTTGACGGCAAAACAAGAAGCATTACCGGGAAATATACGAAAAATTCAGAAAATTGACGGCAAATTCAGAAGTTTGACGGCAAAACTAGAAGCATTACCGGGAAATATACGAAAAATTCAGAAAATTGACGGCAAATTCAGAAGTTTGACGGCAAAACAAGAAGCATTACCGGGAAATATACGAAAAATTCAGAAAATTGATGGCAAATTCAGAAGTTTGACGGCAAAACAAGAAGCATTACCGGAAAATATACGGAAAATTCAGAAAATTGATGGCAAATTCAGAAGTTTGACGGCAAAACAAGAAGCATTACCGGGAAATATACGAAAAATTCAGAAAATTGACGGCAAATTCAGAAGTTTGACGGCAAAACTAGAAGCATTACCGGAAAATATACGAAAAATTCAGAAAATTGACGGCAAATTCAGAAGTTTGACGGCAAAACTAGAAGCATTACCGGAAAATATACGAAAAATTCAGAAAATTGACGGCAAATTCAGAAGTTTGACGGCAAAACAAGAAGCATTACCGGGAAATATACGAAAAATTCAGAAAATTGACAGCAAATTCAGAAGTTTGACGGCAAAACTAGAAGCATTACCGGAAAATATACGAAAAATTCAGAAAATTGACGGCAAATTCAGAAGTTTGACGGCAAAACTAGAAGCATTACCGGAAAATATACGAAACATTCAGAAAATTGATGGCAAATTCAGAAGTTTGACGGCAAAACAAGAAGCATTACCGGGAAATATACGAAAAATTCAGAAAATTGACGGCAAATTCAGAAGTTTGACGGCAAAACTAGAAGCATTACCGGAAAATATACGAAAAATTCAGAAAATTGACGGCAAATTCAGAAGTTTGACGGCAAAACTAGAAGCATTACAGGAAAATATACGGAAAATTCAGAAAATGACGCTCTGAGAGAAAATATGATAATATTATTTCCGTGTGACCCGTGAGTTCAGAAAAAAAGAAAAATGTCGATGTGTAGAGAAATCTCCAAAAAGAATTTATTCCCTTTATTCATCACACTTGTGATCGCCAGGAATTTTTTTCTATCCCCTTCAAGAAATGTAGTGAGTTGGTCTCTCGACTTCGTGCGCATAATGAGAATAAATTTCTAGCACTGCTATTCGTATCCCCAAAGGAGATTGGATCCAAGGACGCTACCGGGTGACTGAAGTCTTAGGGATCGGAGCCAGGTCTACTTGTTTCCGCGTGGAAGATCGAAAGAATCGCAACGCGACCCATGTCTGCAAAGTGAAGAGACTGAGAGATGGTACTCAGGAAGCTTTCGAAACGGAGATCGCAGCGTTGATGAAGTGTCGTGGTTCGTCATGTTTCCCCCAAGTCAGTGATAGTTTCGTCAACCTTTCCCATCGTGTCATTGGTGAGTTATTTGAATTTGAAAATTTTAAGTTCGTATATCTCGTTCCCTGTGGAAGATATAAAAAAGTGGTCAACTAACAAAATGTTTGAAATGAATTCGAAATGATTTTATCAGTTGACCATTTTTTGATATCTTTTATATGAACCGAGTTAAATTGGCTCAAAGTTGAAAGATGGAGGTCATTTCATTAGAATACTTTCATAACTGTCAACTTCGAGTCCATATATCTCGTTTCCTGTGGAAGATATAAAAAAGTGGTCAACTGGCAAAATGTTTGAAATGAATTCGAAATGATTTTATCAGTTGACCATTTTTTGATATCTTTCATATGAACCGAGTTAAATTGGCTCAAAGTTGAAAGATAGAGGCCATTTCATTAGAATACTTTTATAACTGTCAACTTCAAGTCCATATATCTCGTTTCCTGTGGAAGATATAAAAAAGTGGTTAACTGACAAAATGTTTATCATAAATTTGAAATTATTTTATCAGTTGACCGTTTTTTGATATCTTTTATATGAATCGAGATAAATTGGCTCAAAGTTAAAAGATGGAGGTCATTTTATTAGAATACTTTCATAACTGTCAACTTCAAGTCCATATATCTCGTTTCCTGTGGAAGATATAAAAAAGTGGTCAACTGACAAAATGTTTGAAATGAATTCGAAATGATTTTATCAGTTAACCATTTTTTGATATCTTTTATAAGAACCGAGATAAATTGGCTCAAAGTTGAAAGATGGAGGTCATTTCATTAGAATACTTTCATAACTGTAAACTTCGAGTCCATATATCTCGTTTCCTGTGGAAGATATAAAAAAAGTAGTCAACTGACAAAATGTTTACCATAAATTCAAAATAATTTTATCAGTTGACCGTTTCCTGATATCTTTTATATGAACCAAGATAAATTGGCTCAAATTGAAATGTTCAGATTCTAATTGTTTTTTTAAAGACATAAAGTTTTTTCAGTTCTATCGTTCGAAGGCGAAACTATCGGAGACGTTTTGAAAAGAAACAGGAACATGCGATTCAGCAACTCCAACAACCTTCGTATCTCTTCACAGCTGACCGGCGCACTAAGTTTTCTACATAGTACTGGCTACCTCCACCGAAACCTGACCAAAGACATCATATTGTTGAAGAGATCTACGAATGTGGGACCACAAAACAAAAAAGAAATAAAATAGTTGAAAATTTCAGCACGTGCTCGTGTCACTTGTTGATCTAGGGAAGGTATCGTTGACAACTACTCGTGAAAAGTGCGAGTTTAGCTCGTACTGGACCTCCTACCATGTCGCTTCCGGGAAACATTTCGCGGAACGCGACGACTACATATCTTCGATGTATTTGATAGGAGAACTAGCTGGTTTCAGGTTAATCGATTTCATTGATCACGATTTAGACGAGTTCAAAAAAATATTCGTAAGTTTGAACAATTTTTAGAATACTAAAAATCATCTATTTTCAGCACTCCCGTCCCACTTCTTTTTTCAAAGAACCCGAAAAATGGATTGGCAGAATTGTCGAGTATGTTGACGTTATGCCTTGTGAAGGAACGAAAATCAATATGAACGAGATGTTCCTACTTTACGCAACAGCTATTGATAACGTTTCTCCCCATTCACCAATCGCCTACAAAACAGTCAACAACGCCATAAAAGTGCAATAAATCGGAGAACTCAGCTAAAGATACTTGTGAACTAGTTTGATTGATACGAAGAGATTGAATGAATTTGAAAACAATTGTTTTTCAATTCCACACTAGAAAAAACTGAAACATTTTATCATCTATTTATCTCATTTTGTGATTTAAGTTATCAAAAAACAGTCAACAAGTAAAATGTTTGAAGTCAGTAGGGGGAGCATTTTATCAGTTGACAAAACATTTTTATCTTTCACAGGAACGGAGATAATTGAACTTGAAAAAACCGAAATATTCAAGTTCATTTATTCCCTATTCTGGTGAAAGTTATCAATAAATAGTCAACAAGTAAAATGTTTGAAGTCAGTAGGGGAGCATTTTATTAGTTGACAAAACATTTTTATCTTTCACAGGAACGGAGATAATTGAACTTGAAAAAACCGAAATATTCAAGTTCATTTATTCCCTATTCTGGTGAAAGTTATCAATAAATAGTCAACAAGTAAAATGTTTGAAGTCAGTAGGGGAGCATTTTATCTGTTGACAAAACATTTTTATCTTTCACAGGAACGGAGATAATTGAACTTGAAAAAACCGAAATATTCAAGTTAATTTATTCTCTATTCTGGTGAAAGTTATCAATAAATAGTCAAAAAGTAAAATGTTTGAAGTCAGTGGGGGAGCATTTTATCAGTTGACAAAACATTTTTGTTTCTCACAGGAACGGAGATAATTGAACTTGAAAAAACCGAAATATTCAAGTTAATTTATTCTCTATTCTGGTGAAAGTTATCAATAAATAGTCAACAAGTAAAATGTTTGAAGTCAGTAGGGGAGCATTTTATTAGTTGACAAAACATTTTTATCTTTCACAGGAACGGAGATAATTGTACTTGAAAAAACCGAAATATTCAAGTTAATTTATTCTCTATTCTGGTGAAAGTTATCAATAAATAGTCAACAAGTAAAATGTTTGAAGTCAGTAGGGGAGCATTTTATTAGTTGACAAAACATTTTTATCTTTCACAGAAACGGAGATAATTGAACTTGAAAAAACCGAAATATTCAAGTTAATTTATTCTCTATTCTGGTGAAAGTTATCAATAAATAGTCAAAAAGTAAAATGTTTGAAGTCAGTGGGGGAGCATTTTATCAGTTGACAAAACATTTTTGTTTCTCACAGGAACGGAGATAATTGAACTTGAAAAAACCGAAATATTCAAGTTCATTTATTCCCTATTCTGGTGAAAGTTATCAATAAATAGTCAGAAAGTAAAATGTTTGAAGTCAGTAGGGGAGCATTTTATTAGTTGACAAAACATTTTTATCTTTCACAGGAACGGAGATAATTGTACTTGAAAAAAACGAAATATTCAAGTTAATTTATTCTCTAATCTGGTGAAAGTTATCAATAAATAGTCAACAAGTAAAATGTTTGAAGTCAGTGGGGGAGCATTTTATCAGTTGACAAAACATTTTTATCTTTCACAGGAACGGAGATAATTGAACTTGAAAAAACCGAAATATTCAAGTTCATTTATTCCCTATTCTGGTGAAAGTTATCAATAAATAGTCAGAAAGTAAAATGTTTGAAGTCAGTGGGGGAGCATTTTATCAGTTGACAAAACATTTTTGTTTCTCACAGGAACGGAGATAATTGAACTTGAAAAAAACGAAATATTCAAGTTCATTTATTCCCTATTCTGGTGAAAGTTATCAATAAATAGTCAGAAAGTAAAATGTTTGAAGTCAGTGGGGGAGCATTTTATCAGTTGACAAAACATTTTTGTTTCTCACAGGAACGGAGATAATTGAACTTGAAAAAACCGAAATATTCAAGTTCATTTATTCCCTATTCTGGTGAAAGTTATCAATAAATAGTCAGAAAGTAAAATGTTTGAAGTCAGTAGGGGAGCATTTTATTAGTTGACAAAACATTTTTATCTTTCCAAGGAACGGAGATAATTGAACTTGAAAAAACCGAAATATTCAAGTTCATTTATTCCCTATTCTGGTGAAAGTTATCAATAAATAGTCAGAAAGTAAAATGTTTGAAGTCAGTAGGGGAGCATTTTATTAGTTGACAAAACATTTTTATCTTTCCAAGGAACGGAGATAATTGAACTTGAAAAAACCGAAATATTCAAGTTCATTTATTCCCTATTCTGGTGAAAGTTATCAATAAATAGTCAACAAGTAAAATGTTTGAAGTCAGTGGGGGAGCATTTTATCAGTTGACCAAACATTTTTGTTTCTCACAGGAACGGAGATAATTGAACTTGAAAAAAACGAAATATTCAAGTTCATTTATTCCCTATTCTGGTGAAAGTTATCAATAAATAGTCAGAAAGTAAAATGTTTGAAGTCAGTGGGGGAGCATTTTATCAGTTGACAAAACATTTTTGTTTCTCACAGGAACGGAGATAATTGAACTTGAAAAAACCGAAATATTCAAGTTAATTTATTCTCTATTCTGGTGAAAGTTATCAATAAATAGTCAACAAGTAAAATGTTTGAAGTCAGTGGGGGAGCATTTTATCAGTTGACGAAACATTTTTGTTTCTCACAGGAACGGAGATAATTGTACTTGAAAAAAACGAAATATTCAAGTTAATTTATTCCCTATTCTGGTGAAAGTTATCAATAAATAGTCAGAAAGTAAAATGTTTGAAGTCAGTGGGGGAGCATTTTATCAGTTGACAAAACATTTTTGTTTCTCACAGGAACGGAGATAATTGAACTTGAAAAAAACGAAATATTCAAGTTAATTTATTCTCTATTCTGGTGAAAGTTATCAATAAATAGTCAAAAAGTAAAATGTTTGAAGTCAGTGGGGGAGCATTTTATCAGTTGACAAAACATTTTTGTTTCTCACAGGAACGGAGATAATTGAACTTGAAAAAACCGAAATATTCAAGTTCATTTATTCCCTATTCTGGTGAAAGTTATCAATAAATAGTCAGAAAGTAAAATGTTTGAAGTCAGTAGGGGAGCATTTTATCAGTTGACAAAACATTATTA